GAGCTGGCTCTGCCTCTCACTTCAGACTCATGTTTGACAGATTAAAACCCTGCACACAGAAACCATTGAACTTCTTTTGATCTGAGAAGCGCAAGTACAGCAAGGAGGGAGTGACAGATATACAGGCATTCAAACCCCAGATTTAAAACATGCAGGGATTAACTCCACTAGTTCACTCCTAGACCCATATCAGCTTTGGGAAGGGGAGATGAAGCTCTGACAAAGAGCAGACATATAGCCATACTGGCAAATGAATTAATTTCAGAGCGTAGTTCCCTAATCACACCCCTGCACCAGCCCCAGACATGCTCCCCACAGGGGCACATTCAGCAACAACTTGGGGCTGGAAGATGGACCAGCCACTAACCAAAAGTAGCCACCCAAAGCTCAAAAACAGCAAAACCCATGCCCACCTCTTAGCAGGGATGAGAGGGAACAGGCAGGCAACTACCACCCACCCTTGCCTCAAGAACGGGTGTAAAAAAACCACGTGTCCCAATACCCATCGGTTGGCAAAACATTCTTCACAAAAAGATTGTCAACCTGGGAGCCCAGCAAAGGAGAGAGGATGACAAAGCCACAGCAGAAAGCACAAATACATCTTACCTCTCTGCCTTCAAAAGTGATGCTCTCACCATTTTTGAGAGCTGTAATTATGGGAAGAATGGCTGGAGTTCCCCTGAAAATCAGGCCACAGAAATATTTAGCTTGCCAACATCAACATGCCTGGTGTTGCCCCATCTGCCCAGCTGGGATCTTGTACTTACACTGGCAGGCCCATCTCCTGTGCTTTAGCTGCTAGAAATTTTCCCTTCTTCGGGTGAATCTGAAAAGAATTAAATAAAACAGAATTATCAGCCAAATAGAAAGGGCCAGGAAACAAGATCCACATACTTCCAGTTTGTTTCCTCACAAGCCAAGGGAATTTTTTTTTTCTTTTCAGTTCCATAGCCACTAGTCTAATGTACCCCCAAAAAGCTTTTAGTAGCCTTCTGGTTTCCAAGATCACACTGTTGCTGCTGCTTCTTGCTCCCTTCTTTAGCCAAGTAAGGAGGATAGACTTTCCTACTGTAAGCATTAAGGAAGAATGGAACCTGTATATTCTTAATTGGCTGCTCTATAAAGAACACTTCTAAAAAAAGGTCTCTAGTTTTTACACATTCCTACTCATGCTACTGTTACTCTGACCTTTGAAAAGTAGAATCACAAAATAGCTTCAAAGTCCTGCTTGAAAATGCTATCTCCAATTAAATCTATTTAGAGAGATGAACAGGACAAGAGGAAATGGCCTCAAGTTGTGCCGGGGAAGTTTAGATTAGATATCAGGAAAAATTTCTTCACTGAAAGAGTTATCAGGCACTGGAATGGGCTACCCAGGGACATGGTCGAGTCCCCATCCCTGGAGGTATTTAAAAGACGGGTGGATGAGGTGCTTACAGACATGGTTTAGTAGTGAACAGGTATGGTTGGACTCTATCTTAAAAGTCTTTTCCAACCAAATGATTCTATGATGATGAAATATCCTAACAATATGAGGAAGCATTTCTTTACAAGAGAGGGTGGTCAAACCCTGGAACAGGCTTACTACAAAGGGGGTCGATGCCCCGAGCCTGTCAGTGTTTAAGAGGCATTTGGACAATGCCCTTAACACCAGGCTTTAACTTTTGGTCAGCCCTGAAGTGGTCGGGCAGTTGGACTAGATGATCATTACAGGTCCCTTCCAACCAAAATACTCTATTCTATATTCTATCCTACATTGATTTAGCAATCTTTGTGTCCAAGCTTACTTTACAAAGGAAAGCCATCACCAGATCGGGATGCCTGCTTGCACACTTCTGTTTGTCACCTGTAAAAGAAAGCAAAACTACTCCGAATCATCACTGACTATCATTTTTCTTAAAGCCAAAACGTGTCAATGTTTGCTAAAACAATAACAGCAACAACATCATCCAGCCAACTTGGAACCCAGCAGTAAAATTTTACAAGCACGTAAGGCCAGAGAGCCCATGGTTGCAGCTACAAGAAACCAAAATAAAGCCCAAGACTGAAAAATAATCAATCCCAACATCCACTCCAGCCAGGGGCAAACTACTACAGGGACTACTCACACCTCAAGCAGAAAGCACGTCCAATTTCTAGGCCTTATTAGTTCTGCATCAACTTCCAAAGTAACAGAACTCATTCTGCTCCATGTAATCCTTCAGCTGAGCTCCTCTATAGACCTCACTTCCAGAGAGCAAACAGCTCAGAGGACAAACTCATATCCTTAATTTGGCATTATTTCATTAAAGTTAAAATGGTCATCCCATTTTTTTCACCTGTTTTCTTTGGGCTTTCTTTTTCCTTGCTCTCCTCCAAGCTCTGCTGTGCAGCTGTTGGGGATCCAGGCCCTGTGTCCCCTTTAGGGCTATTTCGACCCTGGGTTGATGCTCCAGGACTCCGAGGCAACGAACTTTCAGCAGCTAGTGGTTTTCCTGTCCCAAATCCAATAAAACAAGACAAAGATCACTCAATCAAAAGGGACAGAGAGAAGACAAACACAAGTAGCATTCCCACTTCCATGACACTCATGTTTAAACTGCACCAGAATACAGAGCTCTTCCCCCTGGTCTGACTTGCACTTGCATACGCTAGTCACTTATTTCAGGAGCCATCCATCATCCGAGTCCTTCAGATGCTCTCAGAACTGCTAAAACCTGTCAAGTCAGTGCCTGTACTCTAAATATCACAGTTTCCAGCAGCAAGAAAACTCAGCTGGCTAAGAAAGCCAAATCCAGTAATGTTTCATGTGTCATTCTATACACCCACACCTAAAGGAACAAACCAAGGCCCTGACTCAGCAGGTCTTGTTTCTTTGAAAGAGATCCTTGCCCTGAGAAAAACATGTAAACTAATAAACCTCTCCTTACTCAGGCTTGCAAACAGAAGCCACTCCTTCAACCACCTTAAGCACAGTTACTGAACAAATCCTTCTCCTGTCCGACTACAGCATCACATGCTCACCTGTAAGAGGTATTTGGTAGACTGTCATCGTCTCGTCCTTATACTCAGGCTCTGTGTGCAACTGCACAGCTGGAAAGAGATCAGAAACCAGTGTTAACAAGTTCATAAGAAGAGGTTCATATTCAACAAGAATTTTAAAATCAAGAAAATATCTTTTTTCTTTCTTAAAACCTGCTGAATGTCCCCCTTCCCTTTCTCTGCCCAGCCGCAAAGAACACTGAATAAAGTACTTAAAAGCCCATCATCCACAAAAAGTAGCCCACGATACCATGGTCAGCAAGTTCATTGGCAGACTCTGGAAGCAAATTGCCTTTACATTGCTTTAAAACTGAATGCTGACTAGTCGTCAGCAGAGGTAGACAGAGGCCTGCCAGAAACTCAGCTGGAAACACCGCTTTTCCTCCAGGCAGTTCCTGTGACAGATTTGAACAGTGTATCAACTCAAAACCAATGTTTAAAACTTTCTTGGAGCAGATCTAAACCAGAGTCATTTATTCTGAAGTTGTTACTGTTCAATGCAACCTTGGCTACAGCTGAAACAAAAAGAAGCTACAAGTTTCTATAAGCTACCTGTCACTGACCCACATACCTAAATCCATCCTTTTGAGGGGCCCAGGAAAGAGTCGAATAGCTTTCAAGTAGTTTTGCTGTAAGAGAGACAGTGTATCAGGAGGCTGCGCCCAAGAGGTGCAATTACAGGCACAACTTTCAGGAGTTACAGTTTCTTTCAGTGAAGTCAAAAGGCTCAACGCCCAGTCAGGCAAAAACTGGGCAGCACAGAGCCAGCCAGAGCCCAGTAGGCAGGTGTCCCACCTCTGCTGGGCATCGCTCATTTAGAAAGAGAAAGGAAGACAAAGAATCGCTCTCCCCATCCCTTCCATCAATACAATTAGTCAGCAGATATTGCAAGGAAGCAAAATAGCGCTGAGGATCGGAAATTTTCAGCCTAGACATAGCATTAGGCTGGCAGGGATCGCGTTAAGCAGGAAATCAGAGACCAAGTTTTTATTAAAAGCAAATGGGGAGGGAGCAGACAGGAGAACAAGGGATGCCCTTTTTCCAAAACACGATTTACTGGAATATTAGCTGACAAGACAATTTTAAGGAGCAGAAATCTGATGCTGTCCTGTGCATAACTGAATGAGATTTGCTTGTTAAAGCCAGCCCTTCTGGCAGAACCTGTGGGCTGGCACTAACTCTGACCAACATTTTACACCTCTACAATGATTCACTCCTTTGATACCAGCTCTCCCCATTCCAAGGCAAACTTTAACATTTCAAGGGTTCGCTCTCCCCTCTGCAAGCTTCCCCCACTTACCAGCTTTGGTGGCCCTAGGAAAACACATCTTTGAAGTCCCATAGCCTTTAGTGTGAGAATCATACCTAAGAGAAGGCACAGAAACAGCTTTATCACAGCCCCACTAGCCACTGGTAGAGCACACAAGAAAAATCCCTCTTGGCACCCAGAAGTGCTGGCCCTCTCCATGAAGGCCAGAACTGAACTCAGATCCAAATTCAATTCTGCTTTGTGGCAATTTCAACAAGTCACTTGTCTCTGCAGATAAAGAAAATGTCTACAAATCTTGATAATCATGATTTGGAGCAAGTTACCTGAACAGACTGTTAATCTCCTCCTTTCCTGGAGATTTCCCAAGTTTTAATGGACAAGATCTCACCCTGCTTTGAGGACAGGGCTGGGACAGAAACCTCTGTAGGTCCCTTTGAACTCAGACTAATCTGACTCACGAACAGCTCCCTGCTGGCAATGAAATGCTGGTAACGCCTTCTACTCTAGAAGATTTGGGGGAAGATAAAGCCACAGGCGCTTCCCCACATGCTTGCATGCACTGTCACAGAGACCATGCTGCAGCTGGAAGTGCCGCAGAGGCCTGAGCAATCCAGCTGCTCTGAAAGCGCTTGTCCTCTCTCCACCACTACAGAGCAGAGACGACCCCACACACCACCCACCAGGCAGCTTGCAAAGCAACCACCTCTGGTCGGCTGAGGAAGATGCTGTCCAGGTGGGAGATCTTCAGCCTGAGAGGGGAGACAGAGGTGTGGGGGGTGAGCGTGGAGCAGTGCAGCCCCCGGGCGGCCCCCCCGGTTGCCTCCACTTACTTGTGCTCCTGCATGGCCCGCTGCGTGCCCTCACCGCAGTTGAAGAGATACCTGCGGGGAAGGGGCATCAGGGCAGGCCCGGACAGGGCGCGCCGTCCCCAGCCCAGGCGGGGCGTCCCCGCGGCCTCGCACTCACCGGTTGAACTCGGAGAAGACGTAGACGGCGGCGCCCG